CTTCAGCTCAAGGCTAGCACTCTACCACTTGAGCCACAGCGCCACTTCCGGCTTTTTTCTTTTTGCTTATGTGGTGCTGAGGAATCGAACCCAGGGCCTCCGGCATGCAAGGCATGCGCTCTACTACTGAGCTACCTTCCCAGCCCTAGAGTGGGTTTTGAAGACCGCTTTCCTGGTTGTTTTTTTTATGTTGTCTTGCATGAAATGTTCTACTTTGGAGTTATGCATTTGACTTTTTGCCTTTACCAGGCATTAAACAAGATCTAAAAAGGCAATACTTAAAAGCAGAGGTACTCAACTCAAGAGAAGCAAACTAGATTTAAACCAATGAAATACTTGTTATTAACTTATTCTCATACCTCTTGGTGATTATTTGGAGTGAGTCACTGGTGCTTGGATCCCTTGGCTTATTCTTAAATATACTGCTGTAGAATCAAAAGCTGCAATATACATATGCTGAAATTTATAGTAACCTTTGAAAATAATTCTGGGATATAATAGAAAGAACAGTAAAACAACTACTCAAGCTTAAGAGTAGTGATGCTAGCAATTCATATATGCCAAAGAGAGGCCATAAAGTACTTCTTTAAGCAAAAAGGTAGACATTCTTGGCATAATAGCCATATGCTGAGGTTGCTAAGAGTTATGATAAAAATGAATATTAAGATTGTAGAAAAGCTTAAAGAAGTTCAACTTGACTTTTGCTTCGTACTCAGACTGCAGAAGTTAGGGCCACAGTGAGCAGTTAGTGCATAGTCAGGATGGAGTTCCCTTGGCCCACACCTGAAATCTTAGCTACTACTCAGTTTACTTTTGACTGTGCTGTCAAAATCCAGTGTCATAAAACTTTGCCTCTATGTTTTCTTCTAAGGTTGTACTTTCAGTTCTTAGGATTTTACCCATTTTGATGAATATTTGGTTATGGTAGAAGATACAGTTTGTACTTCTTTTACATGTAAATATGTTTGGATGCAACAAAGATATTTTTATAGATTAATAGTAGTATTGTGGTTTTATTAAGGAAGTATTATCTAAGATTTTGCTCAAAAATCATACCATGATGAAATTTAGTGGCAGGCTATATAGATGGTTTCTATTTATTTATTTATTTGCTGCTGTGGGGCTTGAACTCTGGGCCTAGTCGCTGTCCCTCAGCTCTTTAGATCAGGGTGAGCTCTACCACTTGAGCCACAGCGCCACTTCCAGCTTTTTTTTTTTTTTAACTGCTTGTGTGGTGCTGAGGAATCGAACCCAGGGCCTCATGCATGCAAAGCAAGCGCTCTACCACTGAGCCACCTTCCCAGCTCCGGTTTCTTTTTATTATGTCTCAGAAATTCTAAAATAAGTTTAAAAGAAAGTTGAAGAGGGCTGGGAAGGTGGCTCAGTGGGAAAGTGCTTGCCTTGCGTGCATGAGGCCCTGGGTTTAATTCTTCAGCACCACACAAGCAGTTAAAAAAAGAAGCTGAAAGTGGCGCTGTGGCTCAAGTGGTAGAGCGCTAGCCTTGAGCTGAAGAGCTGAGGGACAGCGTCCAGGTCCAGAGTTCAGGCCCCACGACCGGATCCAAAAAAGAAAAAAAAAAAAGAAAGTTGAAGAGCTATAAAATGCAGCAGGGATTCAGCAGCCAAGAGCAGAAAACAAAAAGCACTTTGTTTTTAAAGATACCTGTAAAGGTAGTGACTGCATTTTTTTCCTCAAGTACCTGGGTTCTGTACTGAGACTGTCCGAGGCTCCAGCTGGCTGGTAGCATCTAGTTTGTAGTCATGTTTAGTGTAGCCACAGGAATGAGCAAAAGAATGACAGGGGAGGCCTCAGCTCAGCCCCACCTTGCATTCAATGACTTGTTGCTTGAGGAATGCATTGTCCAGGTAGATGTGGCACTTCTTGAATATCAGGGATGACTTAGTTCTTTGGTTGGTTGGCTCAGAGAGGTGCTACCTCCTTCCTTTTTCTGTGTGTATGTTTACTAAAACAGCTCAGCCGGGCCCTTCTTGAGTTCACAGCGCTTTAGTGGTTTCTGTGCTATGAGTCCTTGAGCAAGCTCTCAAATGAAGGGAAAAACATTGACAAAATGACCAAGTTAATGTCATAGTAGGACTACTTTCACCACTTCTTTCCATGTCACAACTAACACAAAGCTTGCTCTTGATCATGCTCAGTATCAGGCAGCACTGAGTTCAAAGTGTGGGTAGAATAGCTTTTGTTCGCTTTTTTTTTTTTTGCTATATATATGTTATTAAAAACAAAATGGTTTTCTATGTGTAAAATTCGGTATGTGAACCTCGTGTAGTGTTTGTGCAAATAGAAATGGAAGTTATGTCACCAACTTCAGAGACTAGAACTCTCTAAATAAATACCTAAAGATCTACCCTTGTCAGTTATTTCCCAAAACATTATATTATAGAACTTGTGTACTGATTTAGGGGTTTTAAAAAGTGAGTTTTCTTTTTGGTATTTTTTAGGAGACCCATGTACAGTATCATCTCAGTTGGAGCTAGAGGAAGCATTTCGACTTTATGAACTAAACAAGGATTCTGAACTCTTGATTCATGGTAAAAGAGTAATTGTTTCATACTCTTCTGGAGCTATATTTTTAAATAAACATTTATTGTTGATCATTTAAAAATATAATCCTGTATCATCTTCTTAATCTATGTGCCTCAGACCAATGATTGTCCTTCAGAAGTTTTCCAAATGCTAGAGAAAGCAAATCAATACATCTTACAGTCTATCTTATATTTATATACCGTCTTGGACTGACATTTAACTATTTAGATGGAGTCTCATGGACTTTTCTGCCAGGGCTGGCATCAAACTACTGTCTTCCAAGTCTTAACCTCTTGAGTTGCTAGAATTGTCTTGGATATTGACATGTGACCTATTGTTTTGCAGTGCATTTAAGAAAATTTGTTATAGCCGGGCGCTGGTGGCTCACGCCTGTAATCCTAGCTACTCAGGAGGCTGAGATCTGAGGAGCGCGGTTCAAAGCCAGCCTGGGCAGGAAAGACCGTAAGACTCCTATCCCCAAAAAACCATCAGAAAACCGGAAGTGGCGCTGTAGCTCAAGTGGTAGAGCGCTAGCCTTGAGCTGAAGAGCTGAGGGACAGCGCCCAGGCCCAGAGTTCGAGCCCCACAACTGACCCAAAAAAAAAAAAAAGAAAATTTGTTATGATCCAAGTAGAGCTTTTTTTATTGCCCGGGGTGGGAGTAGGGTGGGGTGGGGTCAGTCCTGGGGCTTGAACTCAGGGCCTGAGCACTGTCCCTAAAGCTTCTTTTTGCTCAAGGATAGCACTCTAATCACTTAAGCCACAATTCCACTTCCAGCTTTTTCTGTTTATGTGGTACTGAGGAGTCCAACACAGGGCTTCATGCAAGCTAGGCAAGCTAAGCCACATTCCCAGCCCACCAAGTACAGCTTTAAAAGGTATCTACAAATACCTAGAGAAATGATTGATCAGCATGGTGTGAAAGTGCACTCCTGTAATCCAAACAGTCAGAGGGTAGAGGCAGGAAGATCAAAGAGTTCCAGGCCATTCTGGACTACACAGCAAAAAACCTTGTCTGAAAAAACAACAAGAAGGATTGCTTGTTCAGTGTAGAGTGGTTGCTTAGCATGTGCAAACTAGATTGGATCCTGAGCACTGGAAAAAAAAATAAGGAAAGAAAAATGATTGATGGGTATTAGTCAAATTTAAGTTTTATACTATATCCCAGGTCTATTTTAATAAGTGTTAAGGATGTAAGTTTTAGCTTTTAACAATATATACCATCAGAAATTGTGTTTCCTATACTCTGTACTCATATTAAACCATGTCTTTTAGTATATCACAGAATTCAAATTGTTATTAACTAGATGTCCATAAAAGATCTATTCCTTGTTCTTATAATGAAAAATGGTTTGATTTGCTGTGTTTATAAATGTACAGGTCCTAATATAAAGTTAAATTTTTAGATTTTTTGGCACTATGTCTTTTAGGAACTCTAAGATTTTATATTCTACATTTGTATACATTTTTGTGATTTACTTTTAGTTCATTGTAGCAAAGGCAAGACATCAAAGATTTAAGAAAATCGTTTCTTTTAGGACAAAACAAAATTGTTGATTAGTAACAAAGGACTATAATTTATAATTTGAGCTCCCAATTGTTTAAGGAGATAATAGTTTCCATAAAAACTTTTTTTGTATAACCTTGGTAAAATAGATCCCTTCCACAGATACATTGACAGAAGAAGCCAAGTACATTGTCCCAAATGAAGAGAAAGTCTGTTTGAAAATTGGGTCAGTTTAATTCAGTACAATACATAAGTTTTAAAAATTGATATTATTAAGGAGTTGTACAAAGGTGTTACAATTCTGTAAGTCAGATGGGTACAATGCTTCTTGGACAATGTCATGCTTTCCTTTGCTTTTTCCCATTTCCCCCTCCTGACCTTGCCTACAAGTTGTATAGTTCATTTTTTACATAGTGTATATTGAATACAATGATTGTATTAACACATATGCTTTTAATATGTTGTCAATTAATTTTAGTTTTTTTCTTTCAGTATTTCCTTGTGTGCCAGAACGTCCTGGAATGCCTTGCCCGGGAGAAGATAGTGAGTGATACTTACTCTCCACCCTGTAGAAAGTTATTCTGTGGCCCAGTAAAAAGATACCAGAAACAAAACTTAATTCATTTGATTTTTTCCCCCTTTTTTTTTTAAAAGCTTGATTTACAGTGTATTAGTGACTGCCTAAATTCTAAATCTGCCTAAATTTGCCAGGTGAAATCTGGATAAAATTTTAAGTCATGTGACTTGGAAAGTTTTCAGATCTATGGAAAACTTGAAACCACGCTGAAAACAGCTATCCATGTATCCCTTCCTAGGTAGTTGCTAACATTGTCCCCATTTGCTTGTACCATCTCTGTGCACATTTGCATGCAAATATATACAGAACAAATTTCCTTGTTTTATGTTTAGTTTTGTTATACCACTTGACAATAAGGGATTGACATGGCATCTAGACAGTTCAACAGGAATCCTTAGAAATTGTTAAAAGAAGCAAGGTGCTCACGCCTGTAATCCTAGCAACTCAGGAAGCTGAGATGGCAATTCAAAGCCAATCAGGCCCGAGAGACTCTTTATCTCCAATAAACCACTCAGAAAACCAGAAGTGGTGCTGTGGGTCAAGTGGTAGAGCGCTACCCTTGAGAGAAGAGCTCAGAGACAGCACCCAGGCCCAGAGTTCAAGCCCCACGACCGACAAAAAACAAAAGAAATTGCTGAAAGAGTTTCCAAGGTGGTGGTTGTCAATGTTTTGATTTGTCTGTGTTTTGTGTTAGTTATGCAAGGGATCAAAACCAAGGTCTTGTCCATACCAGGTAAGTGCTGTATAAGTGAGCCATACCTCCAGCCCAGATGTTGTTATTATTAGTGAGATTTGACTGCAGGAGCCAAATTGCTCTTTGTTCTTAGTAATTTAAGTATGTAACTTAAGTTTGATCATGAATTACTGCTTTTGATGTATAATTTATTAATTGTGGGAATTAGGCAACTCATTTTCACGTTTGGTTTCTATATATCTTTATGACTTTAGAAGGAAAAGTAGTTATACTTTGAATTAAGTGAAAGTTCAAGGTCAGACTTTTAATGCTGTGTCTCAATACTCTGGAAAAAAGAAAAAAATGAAGAACAATGAGTGTTTGTATACAGGGTTAAATAGGTGGGGTGTACTATATAGAAAGATCGGGAAATGCAAAGAATAGACAGAATGTTGATGCAATCATGAAAGAGATGCCTGTTTTGATCAACTGGGAATGTTTAATTGGGCTGCCAGTGACAGATGGTTAAGCCATGTCAGCTAGCTTCACAGAGCTGTTGGAAACCTAGGGGAAAAATAGGTTTCTTCTTTTTGTCCAGAGCCAGAACTTTGCGAGTTGCCATTGCAGCCCATTTTCTTGATTCCTGAGTCCTATCTCCCTTCAAATCTGATAGAGGTCTATAAGCTACTTCCCAGATATAATGGAGTTTCCAAACTTCTACTTTTCATGCCCATATTCTTTCTTTGAATGGATTGGTGGAGATTTTGACATTATTTCTCTCAGTAAAATGAATATTGCTACATTAGGACATCGAGAAAATTTGTTAACCATTAAGCTTGGGTAGTAATACTTAGATTTTTAAGAGTATTTAAGCTTTGTGAAATCTGTATCCTGCTTCTAAATAATTCTGAAAAAATAAATATATGATTTTACAAAGAGGAAAGTGATAGAACAAAATGAATTGGTAAAGTAGTTAAAGAATACCGCATTCTTTCAGTTCTTCTATGGGCTTAAAACTTTTTCAAAATAAAAATGTGGGGACATTTTTGTTGTTGTTTTTGTGCTAGTCCTGTACTTAGGGCCTAGGTGCTCTCCCTGTACTTTTGTGCTCAAGGCTAGCACTCTACCACTTGAGCCACAGTTCCTCTTTCAGCTTTTTGGTGGTTAATTGAAGATCAGAATCTTACAAAGTTTCTCGACCAGGCTGGCTCTGAAGCATGATCCTCAGATCTAAGCATCCCGAGTAGCTAGGATTATAGGTGTAAGCTATCAGCATTAGGCTGGGAAAACTTTTTAAAAGAACAGCAATGGGAGTTATTCATTTATATTTCCTGATTTTAATTTTTATCTAATCCCTTGAAGAATCTTTTTTTAATTTTTCAGTAATTATGAAGAAATCAGAATTAATTAAATGATTTTTACTCACACTTGCTCTTTTTTCAGTTTTTTTAAAAATTATTAAACTTTCAGAATCCATCTACCGCAGAGGTGCACGCCGCTGGAGAAAGCTTTATTGTGCAAATGGCCATACTTTTCAAGCCAAACGCTTTAACCGGGTAAGTTAGTAGGAATACTTATAATTTGAGACATCTATTTTTTTTCCCCTTTCTGCTATGAGGAAAGATTAGTCATTAAATCTTATTTATTTATTTATTTTTTTGCTGGTCATGGTGCCTGAGCTCTGGGCCTGGGCACTGTCCCTCAGGTCTTCATTTCAAGACTAGCACTCTACCACTTGAGCCACAGTGCCAATTCTGGCTTTTTTTACTTATGTGATGCTGAGGAATCGAACCCAGGGCCTCATGCATGCAAAGCAAGCACTCTACCACTGAGCCACCTTCCCAGCCCAAATCTTACTGTTTTTATTTTTGTTTTTGTTTTTTTTTTTGTTTTTTGGGTCCAGTCATGGGGCCTGAACTCTGGGCCTGGGAGCTGTCCCTCAACTCTTCAGTTCAAGGCTAGCGTCTACCACCTGAGCCACAACACCATTTCCAGCTTTTTTCTTTTTGCTTATGAGGTGCTGAGGAATTGAACCCAGGGCATCATGCATGCAAGGCAAGCGATCTATCACTGAGCCACCTTCCCAACCCCTCTTACTCTTTTTTTTTTTTAATCAGTTGTGGAGCTTGAACTCTGGGCCTGGGCGCTGTCCCTCAGCTCTTCAGCTTAAGGAGAGTGCTGTACCACTTGAGCCATAGCACCACTTCCGGTTTTCTGAGTGGTTTATTGGAGATAAGAGTCTCAGGACTTTCCTGGACTTTTCTGCCCTGCCCGGGCTGGCTGACTTTGAATGGGCTGGCTTTGAACTGTGATCCTCAGATCTCAGTCTCCTGAGTAGCTAGGATTACAGGCATGAGCCACTAGGGCCAGGAATGAGTACATTCTTTTTGAACAATATCACCCCTCATGCCTACTTTTTATTTGGAGATGGAATCTAGATAACTTTTCTATCTGGGCTGCTCTCAAACTGTAGTCCTCCAGATTAAAGCTTGGATTACAGCTGTGAGCTACTCACACCTTGTTTTCCTTTTACTCTTAAAATTCTTCAGATTGAATTATTAGTTACATGTTACCCCAGTTATAGGAATATTGGAATTTTGCTCAGTTGTGTCCTACCATATGAACCATACCTCCAGCCCAGCTTTTTACTGGCTGTTTGGAGACAAGTCTCAGGGACTTTTCTGCCTGGACTGACTTTAAATTGTGGTCCTCTGAATCTCAGTCTCCTGAGAAACTAGGATTACAGGCATGAGCCACTATCACCCAATTAGAATATTGTACTTTTAAATATAAGTTAAAGAATCCAGAAAATTAACAGACTAGTTTTATTTTGCAAACTGGTTTATCACGCAGTTTAATTTTCGCTGTTTGGCAATAACAGTAACACTTACCTAACTTTTACTATGTATCAGGCAGTTTTCCAAAAGCTTTATCTATACTTATTCACTTATTCTTTAAAACCTTGTGAAATATACTATATTACTGATGAGGAAAATACAGTATAGGGCAGTTTAGTAACTTGCCCAAAATAACTCAGCTAGTAAGTGGCTGGGCCAGGCTTTGAAAATAGGCAGGCTGTTTTCAGAAGTCCATGTGTTTAACTTCTCCAGAATTGTAAGTCATGGCCTTCATTTTCAAGTCTATAGCAAATGTCATGTCCTTACTTCATTAACAGAAATAAAAATGACCACCTGAGATCCTCAGACTCTTGTTCCCAGTAGCAAAAAGGCTTTGAAAAATGTAGTCCCTTTAGGTATTGCTCTATAGAAAAGCAGAGCTTCGGTTTGACTTCTGACTAGTCTTAGATGGCCATGTGGTTTTCAGAGCTAACTTTTTTTTTGTTGTTGTTGGTCATGGGGCTTGAACTCTGGGCATGAGCGCTGTCCCTCAGCTCTTTAGCTCAAGGCTAGAGCTCTACCACTTGAGCCACAGTGCCACTTCTGGCTTTCTGGTGGTTTATTGGAGATCAGAGTCTCGTAGACTTTGCCCAGCTGGCTTTGAACTGTGATACTTAGATTTCAGCCTCCTTTGTAGCTAGGATTACATATGTGAGCCACCGGCGCCTAGCCCTAACTCACTTTTTCAGTTTTCATTACTGTGAACTTTTTGTGAAGGTGAAAATTTCTTGAGTTTGATAATAGAAAGCAACATGATTGCAAATATCACTTCTCTTTAAAACAAGCTATTTTCTGTTTATTTTACTGTCCTTTCTAACATTTAGAAAATTATGTATGAGGAAGCTTTGTCTTGTTTTGCCATGGGCTGGCAATGGATATCATAATGAGGGAAATTGAGCTGGAAAAGAAAGTCATTTATTTTTATAGTAGTTTATGAGCAAACTGTTAGAAAATGGTAACAATCATTTTTTTTGTTAATAAAACACTTGTAAATTACTTTCCTCAGCGTGCTCACTGTGCCATTTGCACAGATCGAATATGGGGACTTGGACGCCAGGGATACAAGTGCATCAACTGCAAACTGCTGGTTCATAAGAAGTGCCACAAGCTGGTCACAATTGAATGTGGGCGGCATTCTCTGCCCCCGGTAAGACACAGTTGATCCTTTTTATTTTCTGGTTATTCTGTTTTTTATTTTCAACAAGTCAGATTGGAATACAGTGCACATGTATGTTTTCATATATATTTTAGGTCTAATTTCCACGAACGACAGAAAAAATGTCCAGTTAGTCTCTCTGAGCTTGAGTTGCTTCACTTCAAATAATGTTTTCTTTCTTTCTTTTTTTTTTGGGTCCGGTCGTGGGGCCTGAACTCTGGGCGTGGGCAATGTCCCTCAGCTCTTCAGCTCAAGGCAAGTGCTCTACCACTTGAGCCACAGCGCCATTTCCGACCTTTTCTTTTTTCTGCTTATGTGGTGCTGAGGAATCAAACCCAGGGCCTCATGTATGCAAGGCAAGCGCTCTACCACTGAGCCACCTTCCCAGCCCCAAATAATGTTTTCTAGGTCCATCCATTCCCTGCAAATGGTACATTTTTTCTAGATCAAGAATGAAATTTTGCTCATTTATCAGAAACTGGGTAGGGCGTCTGGATAATTTTTGTTCATTAACCTTTTTAACTTTTTTTTTTTTTAACAATTTTTTTTATTGTGAAAATACCATACAGAGGAGTTACAATTACATGGGCAAGATGAGTACATTTCTTTTTTCTTTTTTTAGGGTCCGGACGTGAGGCCTGAACTTTGGGCTTGGGCGCTGTCCCTCAGCTCTTTAGCTCAAGGCT